GGTTCCTACAGAACTAGTAACATTATCGGCTCTCTGAGGGTATTTTATTGGGTGTTTAATTTTGCTTCTTTCTTTTAGACTTTACTGTAAGATGCTTATACTAAGAACCTTCCCGTATGTGCCCTAGACTCTTTAACATAAAATGATCAAACACATGATCTTTAGAATAAGGTGAAATCTGTAAGATAAACACTTGTCATTAGAAACCACCTAAATGGGAAGAGCGTACACTGTGTGTGTGTGTGATGTATAATAGCAGCCCTTATCCTCTTTAATATAAAAGCAAAAAGGCAGCATTGGTTGGCGCTTTGCTGTTGTTGGTTGGTTGGTTGGTTGGTTTGGTTGATTGATAGGCCATGACACGAAGTGATTAAAAGACATCTTCCTGTCATTAAAAACTCACAAAATGAAACAGTCAGAACTTAAACCAATGTCTCTTGACTCCTGGTGAAACACAGTGTTTTTAGGTATTTGTTTATTTTGCATTGTGTAATTCACTCTCAAGCCAAAAGATTATTTCCACCCTCTGCAAATTTCTTACACAGAACCGAAAAGAAATCCGGGGATTTTACCTGCATTAGCAGAGCAACATCCTGAAGGAAGGGAATGTGATATAAAGGAAAGAGCTCTGCCTTTGAGTAGCAGCAGCCTTCAAGGTCAGCTCTAGTAGGTGCCCCATGAGCACTGTTACCTTAGGCCACCTCCCTGGTTCTTCATTTCCTAAACTATAAAATGGGCGTGGGATTTTCCAACTCCACACCTCCACAGTGTTTTCTGAGACATTAGTGATAATGTGTGTGAAATCTAGCCCTGCATCTGGCACACAGTCAACTGTGTTTGCTCACTTTTAAATAAAAAGCTAGGTTCAAATGTGTGTGTGTATGTGTGTGTGTGTGTAGAAGAAGATGCATTGCTAACATTTTTGGAGAAGAAAGTGCATCGCTATCATTTTTAGGTGGTCTGTGCTGCAAATAATTTTGATATGGCAATATTTTTAAAATTCGCCATACTATCTGGGGTGCTGTTTTCACTATCTTTCCAACTTGAAATCACAAGTTCCAAATATTTATTTCTACTCTGAAGACAGCTTTTATACTTTGACTTTCTAACATGCTGCCAATGAAACGCCAAAAGAGAAATGTGTGACAAGTCAAAGTTTGCTTGCTTTTGGAATTGTTGCAAAGGAGAACTTCTTAGAGTTTAATATTGAAAATGCTTAATATGGTAATAAGCAAAAATGGGAATACTGAGTTTTGAGCATACATTACAGTGATTTTCATCCTTAAAAATAATATATTAAATAATAATAATGATATATTAAGGAGGTCTGGGGTGAGATACTCCTTATCTAAAAAGCACTGAAACCTATGACTGAATGGTTCTTTAACAGTGAGCAAAACCTGTGACACCTCAGAACATAATCTTCTTCCTAAACTGTATGCTAGTGGAGTCCAAGGGGAGTATATTTAGTAAGAAGAGCATGCATCTTGGGAACTGAGGAACTCGTAAAAATCACAGTTGTGCTAAGTATTAGCTGTGGGACTTTACGTAATTCACTTAACCACTGTGATCTTTTTTTCTTATAAATAAGTGGAGTTTGACTATCCTATCCTGCTTTAGTTTTCTCATAACACTCATTATTTCTTAACATTGCCTGACTATTCCATGGTCTTGGTGTGAGAGTCAAATGGCATAGAATATGTAAAATGCAAAGTGCTTTTTTAGCAAAGGGAGTTTATTATCACTGTACCTAACTACCACATCATAATTACATTATCACTATTATATTTATCCACACTTTAGTTCCTTAAAAGAAAGTAAATGCTTGCTTTTGATTATTTGCTTTTATCGCCACCTGAAATGAAGATGATGCTCCCATGTTCCTGAGCAAATAAAGGAAATCCCACACAGTACTGCTAACAGAAAGACCATGTTCTAAAGTCAGAATTGTGTTGCTTGAAGTCCAACTCACTGCTCTTGAAAGACACTGCATGGAACTCAGGTTCTGATGTTCTTATAATTCATTTTTATAAATATGAGGCTTCCCTAAAGAGGAGGAGCCACATGGAAGGGTCCAGAACAACAAGATAAAACTCTTACTAATATCATATACATTTACAGTACTCTAGGGTTTTCAGTCTATCTCTCCTCTGTTACATACATATCTTGTTGCTCCATTCAAAGGGGTACCTGACACAGAAAGAGCTGCATTGTAATTGGGCAACCACGGAGACGACCACCAGGGACTCAGATAAAAATTTAGGAGCTTTTATTAAGCTGGCCAGCGACTGCAGTTCAGCCTCTGCTTCGGCAGAGTGCTGTAATTGTAGTCGCTGGCCAGCTTAATAAAGGCTCCTAAATTTTGATCTGAGTCCCTGGTGGTCGTCTCCACGGGTCGCCCCATTACAGCATGAAAGACCAACAAGTCTGCTGACATATATGTCATCATAAGAGGTGGCACCTTGCCCTAACTGTTTTGGCTCAGTGGATAGAATGTCGGCCTGAGGACTGAAGGGTCCCAAGTTTGATTCTGGTCAAGGGCATGTACCTTGGTTGCAGGCACATCCCCAGTAGGGAGTCTGCAGGAGGAAGCTGATCAATGTTTCTAACTCTGTATCCCTCTCCCTGCCTCTCTGTAAAAAATAAATAAAATATATTTTTAAAAAAGAGGTGGCACCTTGATGCGTGAGAGGTTGGTTGATCCCCCATTCTGTGCAGTAATTCCCCCACCCCCATAGCCCAGAGCGTTTCCTCTTTTATTTTTGTCAACAACACTTTCTTTTTGTTCCTCTCCTCCAACTAGGAAGTACATCACTGACACAGACACAATATACCTTTTCATAAGGAAGCAAATGAATATGTGCCAGATGGGCTGAGGGGATTACAACATGTTTCCTGCTCCCATGGTGACCCAATGGAGCTGGTATGAGAACTTATCTTATTTGAGAAGTCAGCTTCCCCAGCAGAATTATGAGTCACAGTTTCTGGGTAGAAAGCTCACTTTCCAAAGGAATTTGGGGTGGGGGAGCTCTTTGGAAGAATTACAGTAAAGGTCATTCAGATAAGCAACACTGCCAAGACCACTGGGGAAGCACCAGCAACCCACCAACTTCTGGGACTTCACTGTTCTCCCAGCAGAAACAATACAGTCACCTCTCTCTGTCCCTTCAAGGTGAGGCAGCATATCAACCCACATTGATGGATTGCTGGTATGAATCCAAACAATAAGTTCCATTATAAAATTGGCCAATTTGCCTAAAAAATTGATGTGAAAGGAATGTATATAAGAGAGAGAGAGGGAGAGAGGAAGAAGGAAGAGGAAGGAGGAGGAGGAGGGAGGAGGAGGAGGAGAGGGAGGAAAAGGAGAAGGGGAAGAGGAAGGAAGGAAGGAAGGAAGGAAGGAAGGAAGGAAGGAAGGAAGGAAGGAAAGTAGGATGGAGATTGGAGGAAGAAAAAAGAGAAGTAGGAAAAGGAGAGGGAGTAGGAGAGAACAGAATGAGTTAATACATCAATGAGTTATGAGAAAACTAAAGTAGGATAGGATAGATAGTGATTGGCAGGGCTATTTTAGTGAAGATGGTTAAGGAAGGCCTCTGTAAGCATAGAATTAAATCAAATAAGAACAAACTATAATCAGAGTTTATATTCAGCATATTTAAAAATCAGGACATCGTGGCACTGACCATCAAATGGAGCACTCACTAAAGCAGGATAGATGCCATTCTAAAAAGCCAGTAGAGCTATAGAGTCATGTATCCCACCTGAATACCAGCCCTGTATAATATACACTTTCATCTGTGAAGACCCCAGGGGCCAACGAGATTGAAAGTTATCTCTCCTTCTCTCAGCTTTGAGCTGTACTCTGTCCTAGTTATACCTCTCCTTTAGTGTTTTTGTTTTCTAATAAAATGCTTTAAGTGTCACAGCAAAACTAAAAAACACCCAGAAAATCTAATCAGGATGGTAGGAGGACTCAAATCTATGTCATGTGAAGAACATCTGACGGCATATATTAGAGAGCATGGTCATGATTATATGATCACTGTTGTAACATTTGTGGAGGCCTTTCACATAAAAGAGGAAATAAAACAATGGTATTCAAAGTATGGCCAAGATTTTTAGGGGAATTATACATTAAAAGCTTTTTAAAATTAAGATATCTAGGTTCCTTGCATTAAAATTAGAAAACCATTGGATTATGTATTTTCTATTTAAATCAATAAGTTGAACCAAAGAAATGTATGGAAATGACATATAGACAAATTTCAGTTATATGTACTAAAATCTAAAATTTTATCAGTCCAAAGATATAACTGGTTATAATAAGTTAATCACTAGTTAGAGATACCAGAAAATAGTTCTGAATAGTAATTCTGGAGAAGAGAGGAGACCTGAAAAGATAAACTTTCAAGTCCCTTGTAAGTCTGATTTCATTTGATCCAGGTCCATGATGGTTGAGTTCGGTAATTCAAACTCAATAAAGGCTTTGGATGGCTCCTCTTATGAAGCAACACCCAAAGAAAGATTGAGCCTGACCGATCTTTCTTTCCTATATAGAAGCAGCATGACAGAAACCTGTCATTATTTATTCATTTTTATAACGTCTCAATTGACTGTTACCACCAAGGCCTTCTCCACCACTGGCTCAAGTTTGAAAAACAGTTCTACTATCACTGTCATTTCTTTTCCCATAGGACCTGATGTAAGGAAAAGAAGCAGGGTTCTAGTTGGTTTGGAACTGAAGGTGATGGAAAAGTCCTACATTTTTACACACCAGATCACTAACCTAATTGCACTGTGTACTGTGAAGACTAGAGATGTCAATGGTTCCTCCTACCATCAAAATTCTCTGATTCTGTCAAATTTATGATTCTGTGCTACCACAGAAGACAATGGAAATAAACAATATTATCTTCTCTTAGTTCATTTTCATAAAGACTTGAGATAATACACTATGCATGACTTGCATTTCAATTGATTGTGAAAAGCCATTCACTTACCCGAGGCATCACTTTGCAAGATCCCATAGAAGTAGAGACTCATTACACACCACAGAAGTCCCATCTTGTCCATCTAAATACAAAGGTAAGGGAGAGGACTCATTACTCTCAGTGCTTAAATAATATTTAGTGCATATGCGTACTGACTATTGATCAGGAACTATTCTGACAATTTTACAATATTAACACATTTAATTGTCAGAACCAACCAGTAAGATAGGTTTTAAAAAATCCCTGTTACAGATAAGAAACTGGGACAAGTTTAAATCACATAACCAAGATCCTTTGGGTAGAAAGTGGTAGAGTAATAATCAAACTCCAACAGCTTGGCTCTAGAACCCTTCCTTCTTTTCTTCTTTTTTAATTAATTAATTAATTAATTAATTGGGGTGACATTGATCAACATGAACATGTAGATTTCTGTATATTGCACGTGTGCCCACTACCCAAAGTCAAATTTTCTCCTGTCACCTTATATTAGGACCCCTTTCTCCCATCACCTCCTTCCCTCTGGCAACCACTACACTGCTGTTTGTGTTCATAAGTTTCATTTTTATATACCACATATGAGTGAAATCAAATGGTCATTAGCTTTTTCTGACTGACTTATTTCACTTAGCATAATATTCTCAAGGTCCATCCATGCTGTTGCAACATGGCTGAGTAGTATTCCATTTGTATATGTACCACATCTTCTTTGTCAGTTCTCTATCTCGGGACACTTTGGTTGTTTCTATGACTTGGCCACGGTGAATAATGCTGCAATGAACATAGGGGTGCATATATCTTTGCAAATACATAATTTCAAGTTTTTCAGGTATATACCCAGGAGTGGGGTTACTGAGTCATATGGTAGCTCTATTAATTTTTTGAGGAAGACTGCTTTCCATAGTGGTTGCACCACCAGCAATGGATGAGGTAGATCCATTTATTAATCTGATATATAAACTGAACTATAAATACCTATTTAAAAAAAACACTCTGGATTTTTTTCATTAGAGTCACATTCCAGCAGATGTTTGATCTTCTTCCCTTCTTTACATTCCTTTGGTCTATTCCCAACTGGAAGTATTTTATAATCCAGGCAATTTTCCTTCTTCGTGATAAATAGGAAATCTAGAAATCCTGAAATCTGACTTGGTCTGCATTCCACCACACTATGAATTTATAGTAAAGGGAAATATATAAACCACATGCCCTGTTGTGGCTGCTTTCCTCTTCTCACTTGAAAAAATAAATGATGAGTCTTAAATCCAATTTCTGTGATCTTGAGCCTCTCTATTGGTAACCAGCTGAAACAGTCAACCAGCAAGAACCATGCCCTTACTCTTGGTTGTGTGATCTTTAATGCAGAAGGCCTGAAGATTTAACAACTCTGTGAAATATTTATTTCCCTAATGCCCTAGACCAGCCGTGGGCAAACTAAGGCCCCCGGGCCGGATCCGGCCCGGTTGAAATGAATAAAACTAAAAAAAAAAAGGACCGTACCCTTTTATGTAATGATGTTTACTTTGAATTTATATTAGTTCACACAAACACTCCATCCATGCTTTTGTTCCGGCCCTCCGGTCCAGTTTAAGAACCCATTGTGGCCCTCGAGTCAAAAGTTTGTCCACCCCTGCGACATATCTGGCCCCTGGTTATAAATACTGAAATATTTACATTACTGAAAAATTTCATACTGTAGATCTCCCTTTTCACTTTTGAACACAACAGTCATATGTAAAGGTGCTTATCAGAGGTCTTGGATATGTGTCCAGATCATATTTTTAGTAAGTGACAGAGATGAGTTTTATACCCATATCTGGCTAACTATAAGACTATTATTATCCCAAACATTAGCATATGTCATAAGCTTTATAACCACAGGGACCCACCAGTTTTAAAAGGTCAAAGAGTTACTTGATTAATAGGGTGACCATATAACAGCATTTAAATGGGACAATTTTAAGAGTATTATACTGAAACAATAGGTGTAAACTGATACTGTCCAAGCAATCCACACAGTGTGTAGTCACTTTAAAAGTCAATGCAATTTTCCAACTCCTATCACCTTTCTTGACCACACATCATCAGAAATCTCTGGTTCATACTGTGCTTCCTCCTTTAGCATGACCATACACAAATCAGGTGAGTTGATTATATCTTAATAACTGTTTTATTTCAAAGATTAAATGTCTCTTTCTTATCACCACCATTCCCTTCCTATTCATATACTATTACCTTAGGGAACTCTTCTCTCCATCATTCCTTTGTTCAATAAAACATATATTGAAGACTTTCTGCTTATACGTCTCTTTGATATAACTGTAGGGGCCTCTAGTAAGTTAGATGCATGGCCTCCTCTAAGGACACTTCTTCTCAGTAGAAGAAATAAACCACATGCAAACCACTTCAATGTCATCAGCTATGAGCAACACACATGCAGAAGCTCTGTAGGATATGTAAAGATTTAGCAGGCAGACATTCTAGCACCAGGCAGAGTTTAGCAGAGCCTTAAAATGTGTACACAAAATAACTGCAGTACAGAATAAATAGTGATAAAATAGTCAGAGAGGAACAGATAAGTGTAATTGAAGATTAGCAAAAGACAGAGATGACTCTAGCTAAGGCAATCAAAGAAGACTAAATGTAAGAGGTAGCTTTTGAACTAGCAAGGACTGGTTTGGAAATTTAAAAGTGAGGCAGAATGAAAGTCTGTGGAAAGGAAGCTCAATGGAGAATAACGCTCAAAGATAGGGAGAAATGGACCATAAATAGGAAATAGTCTATAAATAATTCAGTTTGGCTCAAGCACAGGGTATTAGGAAAAGTACTATATAGAAGATTTTGTTGGAAAGCAGGAAGAGTTAGGATTACAATATAACATGGACTTGAGTAGCAGCTTAAGAACTTGGGATTTAATTTTAACAGCAAATAGGGGAATCATTGAAGGATTCTGATTAGAGGAGTGATATTAACATCCAGTTCTGCCTAATGGAGATCATTCTTCCAGGCACGTATTAGATGGATTGCCACTAAATTCTGTCTTGAAATCATTTTGGCTCCCTAGTCTGTCATCCCAGTAATTGTTATCCTCCTAGCTTTGTGTCATCTATAAACTTGATCAGCATGCCACCTAGGCCCTCATCCAAGTCATTAATTAAATTAATTAATAATTCTGCATTAATCCTTGTCAGTGGAGAGCAACTAGATATTTCATTTCAGATTCAGGGCACAGTACTTTCAGCCCTAATACTATTCCTAAAGCAACACTTAGAAGACATTCTAATTAGGGTGATTGAGGACCTTAATTGATATTCTCATGAGTAACTGGATTATGCCAGAGGCAGCAAGGAGTCAGGTCACCAAGGTAAAGCTAATCAAAAGATAACTTGTGTGCAAAGACAAGTCCAGGGTCAGTCTGGCCCTGTGATGAATTAGAATAAAGCAGACTGAAAAGAAAATGTGATTGTGTCGGCTGTTTTTGACAGACTAAAGGTACCGAGGTTAGTGGGAGGAGGTTGGCTGGTCTGCGACCTCTCTAAGAAGGCAGGTTCATTTAACATCATCTTACATTCTGCCTAAGAATTTTATTATTGTGACTAGTAATACACTTTTTAAAAAATAGGGAGTATGCCCTCCGGTCCAGAAAGAGAGAGAGAGAGAGAAAGAGAGAGAGAGAGAGAGAGAGAGAGAGAGAGGGAGAGAGAGAGATTTGTTCTTTCACTTATTTATGTATTCATTGGTTGCATCTTGTATATGCCCTGACCAGAGATTGAACCTGTGAATTTTATTATTGTGACTAGTAATACACTTTTTAAAAAATAGGGAGTATGCCCTCCGGTCCAGAAAGAGAGAGAGAGAGAGAAAGAGAGAGAGAAAGAGAGAGAGAGAGAGAGAGAGAGAGAGAGAGATTTGTTCTTTCACTTATTTATGTATTCATTGGTTGCTTCTTGTATATGCCCTGACCAGAGATTGAACCTGCAGCCTTGGCATATCAGGCCAATGCTCTAACCCACTGAGTAATACACTTTAGTTCTTGTTTCTTGGGGGGAGGGAGTACTGGGTATTTGCAGAGATGGAGAAACTGTCAGAAAGAAAAGAAACCTGCCTAATGACACATGGTTTCTCATGGTCTGAATTACAGTCTAGCTTTAGATTACTGTGGTAGACTTTAACAGACTCTACCCTTGCTTCAGATGATTGAAACTTTTATATAGTAAATTTCAAGTTAGCCTCTCTTGCATTATCCATTTTATTTACTATATGATCATGTTTATACTTCCTTTCTGAGGTATTGGTACTTCTCTCATAGTCAATGCCATTGTTTCCTGGTATATCAACTTAGATGCCTATATCACCTAGCGAGAAGTTTCAAATATGTACTTAGGTCTACGTTATCAACAACAATGTTAATAATGACAGCTAACATGTGCTCAGAACTTTAACATCGACTCCTGCATATGAAGCTTTCTATTTTCTGCATTCTCTAGGCTCAATAAGCGCTAGGGTCTCATCTCTGAGTTAGCCCTGGATTCTCTCACTGAGCAGCGGGTAACAGGCTAAAACTAGTTTTGCTTCCCCAAGGATGGTAATTTTTCTAACTGACCACTTGCTCAGCCTTTGTTCTGCACATCAGCATTTCAATAGTCCACAGGACTGATTTCTCCCTCAGTTTCCTGATTCCACTTATAGCTCTATATTCAGATCATGGCTACTCTTTGAAGCCCATGAACCTGGTTGGGGCTTGGACCTTCAACCTGGTGTTTTTCAGCACTTTTCCAGGAGCCTGCACCCTGTGCCCTGTAAGGTCTTCTCTGAACTGGATAAGCCTCTTGTAACCATGAAGCTGCTATCACTTGCTTCATTCCTGGCCAACAGATGCCCTTTGCTATGACCTGCCTACTGAAAACGTGGCCACTAAGGCACAAACCTGGAAAGTCATCCCTGTGTGAGGTTAGCCCTGCAGCCATATCTCTTGCTCGAGTCCTGATCCCACCCAGATCCTTCTTTTTCCCTTCTCTAACTTACTGAGCAGGTCTTGCACAGCTATGACAAATAAGTCTTTGAAGGACATAGGCCAGATTATTA